TAACCTATTTCATAGAAAATTGTCATGTTTATTGCAATATTCCTAGTTTATGGTGTGTAACAACATCACGCATATAATATATTGTATACACTTATCCACAACTGTTTGAATAATCTGAATATAGGTATACCATTTTATCATTAGCAGCGGAAATTTTTCTGAAATACTGATATTTAGGTCATAATTACGTATAAAAGACAAACATATCAGAATAATTTAAGCGTGGAAATATCAAAGGAGATAAGTGACAAAAATAGGTTCACTTTCCTTGCTGTCGCAGCAGCAACAGCGTATTGGTCCATCGAAAAAATGTATTTCTTAGCTCCATGTAACAAAGTTAAATTAAAAAAATATTTTTTGTGTATCATAAAATTCAGTTTTATGAACTCATTCCAGACAAAAATTGTCACCTTAAATAAATTAATTTGCGCAAATTCTCATTCTCAGAACATGCAACATGGCTGATATTACAAAAGTCGAAGAAAGTAAAAATAAGTAAATAATTAATTATTTATTGTTTTATTAATACTATTATCGCATTTTTAGGTATTATTAAGCTAATTCAACAAAATCTTGTCAAATACATAGGCCAGTCAATAGAGGTTTTGTTTGTGACAAAAATACTAGCAGCAAACGGACTGTGCCATCATATAAAAGGCAGTCTATAGATATATGCTTATCTGTTTCCTACTCCAATTTACTATTTTTTAATTTTTTATAAACATTTTTATGCAAAAAACGAATTTTTTAAAGATTTTTGCTTATAAAACCTAAACTAACGAAGCAATCTGAATGCTATAATGAGATAATTTGTAGAGAATCGATATATGAATAAAACGAGAGGTCGATCGATCCTATCGGATAATTAGAAACTGGGAAAACCCGGAAAAAACGGAAAATTTAGCATTTTCTTTAAAAATTCATTACACCGCCATTTTTAAGTTGTAGAACTGACCCTGTGCACAAAAATACAAATATTAAAATATAAATTATATGTACTTTAAGTGTGCACAAAGCTGATGTTGTCGGACCATTAGTTTTGGCACAATTGCAATTTGAATTTTTTGGAGCACTATTTTGCAAAGTATCTGGATGCGTTGGAGGTGGTCAGATTTAAATTCTTCAGCCGGATTTTAAAAGTAGAAGTTTAATACTACAAAACGTATATTCTAATTTTCCGATAAAATAGGTGAAAAATTCCTCCAAACATGCTCAAAAACGGTCTAGTAGTGGGGGAAGATCGGGAGATGAAGGTCAGTGGATATATAGGTATACAGTTTTAAATATTGTTAGTTATAATCTAGTTTTCATTGTATTCTGTTTCAAAGAATACACATTTAGGCATCCTTGAATACCGTCAAGGACATTTTATTACATTTTGTAAGTTGTTTATGAACGAATTTACATTTCGTATGTATAGCATTCAGATTGCTGAAAAAATAATGGTAAATTGAAATAGGAAATATATAAGCATATATATCTACAGACTGTATTTTATATGATGACACAGTTCGTTTGCTACTAACAATTTTGTCATAAAATCACTGATTTAATGCTCTATCGATTGGCCTAACAGCTCTTGTATATAAAAAATCTAGGTATACAGAATATATCCAACCGTACAGACAAGATTATTTGAATTAGATTAATACCTTTATAATAGAGACAAAAATTGCAGAGCTAATAATAAAGTACAAATTTTGCTATTTTAAAAAATAGTCATCAAAATAGTAATCACAATTTCATTAGATTTAACAAAGAATTTTACTTTTTAAATCCAAAATCAAAGTGAAGTTCACAACGTACCACTAATAAATATTCCAAACAACGTTATTAACATTTTTTTCTTAAAACTCTCGTCCTCATTCCACTACTTTCATAATAACTTCAATATACGTACAGTTAGCAGATATTGATTGTTTTTCAAATACGTTCCACGTGATTTGCATCTCGATAATGATGAAAATATCAATAAATGAGATCATCTCAAATATATTTTAGTAGCGTTAAATCACACATTTTGCCAAAAAAAGATGAAAACGCCGTTCTTCTCGTGGGTAAATAAATTATCTATGAGCTGCCTAAATAAATATTCTCTCTGTTATTAATTTCAATTTTTACTTATCTCTTCATAGCAACACATGAATTTTATTGAAGACGTTATGCGTCAAATAAAATAACTTTATTTTATGGGATGGTAAAAAACAAGTGAAAATTTACACAAATATCCCGCTTTTTAGCTGTTATAAGATAAATCATAATAAGTTTGGAAATCATTCAAAAGCGGACAAATCTTCCTACATATTGTATATTTTTATTTAATTAAGATCAGAAACCTTTTTTTATAAAATAAATCTGCGCTGTAAAAAAATTTCACTTAAATTCACTCAGTTTTATTCAATAATGTATCAATTTCTATCCACACCCAATTGAGTGAAATTTTCACTCTATTAGTCTGAGTACATTTACGAGTGAAACTGGAACTGAGTGAATTTTACTCAAATCCGAGTAATAGTTAACTTTTTCTCTAATATGATTTAAATTGAACTGTTATTGAATAATTTTGTACTATAAAAATTTCCAAGGGGGTGGCGCCCCAGAGCCCCCCCTCACCACCTGCCCCTGCTTCCATTTCATTGATATCTGAAGTGGTTTTTTTAGAAACATTATTTTAGGTCTCGATTAAAGGAATTAGTTAACAGGTGAGACGAATAGATTGCCATAACCTATATTGTACGTTACAGATACGTAAGTATAGGTAACAATTTAACTATCAGTTTATTTAACTAAATATTAATTGAGACCTAATATATTATTGTTTTTAATTATTGTATTCAAACCACTACATTTAAACATAATTTTCACCAAAATAACCGGATTAACGCTTGTCCAAAACTACACGCCATACACCACGTCTGGAGATGACCTAATGAGAACAATGGGAATAGACAAAGACAACGCACGACAACCATAGAATGGGGTGGGTGCCTTAATAATGAGTTATTTTACCCCGATTTAGCTACAGGTGCACCAAATACCAGTTTATCTGTAGAATTTATTTAACGGGTAAAATTATATTTGAGTGACTCAGTTTTAGTTCAAATGAGAAAAATTATCGCAATGCTCAATATTGAGTGAAAATGTCCTCAATAATTTTACTCAATGGGATTTAAATTTTGTTAGACGTTTAGATAAAAAAATTATTAAATTTTTATTAGGTAAAAATTAAATAAATATATCTACGTATTATATTTGAGTGACTCAGTTTTAGTTCAAATGAGAAAAATGATCGAAATGCTCAATATTGAGTGAAAATGTACTCAATAATTTTACTCAATGGGATTTAAATTTTGTTAGACGTTTAGATAAAAAAATTATTAAATTTTTATTAGGTAAAAATTAAATAAATATATCAACGTTTTTTTGTGCCATAAAATATTTTGAGAAATTTTATCAGGAGATAAAGGTTTGTCATTGTAAATATTATCTAATACCTAATAAGACAATAATCATGATGCGAAACTATCAAATTACTTTGAAAATCAACTACTAGAAATATTATACATATATACATACAGGGTATATTAGCGACGTTGCTACCTTTAGGAATTTGTCTCGATAAAATAAATAATAATAATAATAATAATAATAATAATAATTAATTCGTAAAAACATTAACATTTACAATGACAATGTAAGAGCGAAATGGTGTCACAACAGTTTCCCTAAGTTAGTTTAAACAGTGTTCCAAATATTCAGTTACATTGTAGGGCTCAATATTTAACAAAAATTGTTTAATATGTTTTTTGAATAAATTTACACTCTGTATCTGTTTAAGTGACGCTGGTAAACAATTGAATAATTTAATACACATGTAATGTGCATTCTTTTCTATTAGAATTAGTCTGTGATATGGGTACATTAGATTTAAATTTCTTGTATTATACTGTGATGATGAGTCTGTCATAAAATTATTCCAGTTTTTCCTTACATACATTAAGTACTCAAAAATATACAGAGCCGATATAGTAATTATTTTGCTATTCCTAAATACCGATCTACAAGATTGGATGTAAGACATATTATTGATAATTCTTAAATTCTTAAATATAAAAGCAGTAGTAGGTAGCGATTTTTCGTAAAACAACGCCTAAGAACTTTAGGATTCTTGAAATAGTAAACATGTGACAGAATTGCTCAAGAACAATTCAATATCTCAAAGTTGGTTCTGCCCCACTTAGAAGGTATCTGTAATGTTAAACAGAATCTGCCCAATTTTCTATTCAAGATTTGGATAGACTTTTTTCATGTAAATATCCTGGGCTTCTTGAATTTTTTTCAAATAATATGCTATTCATAGTTAAAAGTCCAAAAACCATGACAAAATTAATCGTATTTTGAACGAGGGATATAGGTGACATCTGAATAAATTTAAATTTTGCATTAATTCGTATAAAAAATAGATGAATCATGACATAATTATGAAGCTTTAAACGTTGAGAAATTAGAGACAAGGATGACTATTTTTAACGTCGAATTTTATTTTCTCAGTTGACATGTCTCAGATTCCTAATCGCGACACGATTGATTTTTGATGAAAATTTACTTGAAAATAGTTGCAATAACTAAACTGCACTGTACTAAATATAAAGTCTACATCTTCTTTTAAGAAATATATTTTTTTTATTTTCGATGGGAGCAATCACCGTGAAAGTTGGTGCAATGCCGCCGTTTTTATAGAATTGATGCTGTCTTTAATCAATTTTAGCGAAATTATAGGCATATTTTGTAAGGAAGGGTAAAATATTAATCGTTACATCACAAACTTATTACAAATGGTCGAATAAAATTTAGTCAAATAAGCATATTCGATCGAAGGTGCTCCAACACTCACACATAAATAAATACATAACACCAAACCCATTAAACGGCAAAGTATGTTAAAATGAATTTTACGTGTTACAGTGCAAATCCACTAACGTTACCTTATGTTATTTCAGATGCCAGTTTATATGCACATTACGTGTTCAAGGCCTTTGATGTCAACTGTAATGGGGCAATTAGTTTCAGGGTAAGTATAAACCTTTGAAGTGTTCTTGGAGAGAGCTCGAACAGCTGAAACTGATCGGAGTGGCGCGGTTTGACTAAATGTGTCACGTAGGTAGGTGTGAATACCACGATTTTGTCGTCCAGGTCCTTCAAGAACTTCATTTTGACTCAACTTCTGTTGACTTTTTCAATTCGCAGGACAAATTATTTTTCTAATGAAAAACGTTAAATGCAAGCAAAAAAAGATAAAATATATTTTTTTCGATTACCATATTTGAATTTATAATTAATTTTTCTAAAAAGTTCCATATAACAAAAACATTGGTTTAGTTTTTAGTTTTTAATTTAGAGAAAAAGAAAACGAAATAATGAAAAACTTTAAAGATTGACTCCTTGCCAAAAAGGTAAAGGCAAGTCATCTATATAAACTTATATTCAAAAACTTCTGCTACCCGAGTAATATCCCTTTAATAGTGTATGTTAAATTTGGAATTTTATTTTATTCCCCACAATTGGAGAAACATAAGAATGCAAATTGGGATGTTGCTTTATCTTATCCACTGCTTTCTTACATCAATATTTTTCTCTCATCTGCGACTGTCGCAAGAAGTTGAACATTCCAACTCTTAATTATTTCACTGTATCTTTTTTGGGGAGCTGAAAATTTTCATTAAAAAAAAATGGCTCACCTAGAGTTCTTTAGTAAAAATAAAAGAATACGTGTTCTTGTTTGTAATTTACTCAAAAAATACTTACCTTAATACATTTACAAAAACTGTTGGAATTGTCGACCTTCAACCCCAATACAAACTTCCATTTTGTAACGCATTGATTGGTGAACTTATTAAAATAAATCTGTCTGTCGAATTGTCTCACAAGGCGCTATAATGAGATTCCGCAATTCCTTCAAATTTTCGGTCGGTCGTATTCCCAGAGAAATAATCGGGAGGATTTAAATCTGGGCGTCGTAGAGGCCAAGGTTGTGCTCCTGCTCTACCTATCCAACGGTTTGGATATGCAACATCCATATACAATAATACTGAATAACCTGACTGAAATGGCTCGCAGCACCGTCGTGTATAAACAATATTTTTTGTCAACGAAATAGGGGCTTCTCCAAAAAAGTTGATAAATCCTCTTCAAGGTAATAAGTAATAAAAAATTTAAGCCATTGAAGATTAAATGCGGTACTAGATTCGAAGATAATAGTATAAAAATGCAATTTTAATCTACGGAATGTAAAAATTACTTAACAAAGCAATATGAATAATGTACTAAAATAATTAATATAATAATAATAATTTCTGCATAGAATAAACTAAATGAAAATAAAATAGTGAAGTAATATGTGATTGTATCTATAACTAACTTTAAAAATTGTAAAAAATAATCTATTTTTAATCTAAAAATTACAAGGTGGCTTATCTAAAAATTATAACTGCTAAAATTTAGATTATCTGAAACTGTTTATTTTTGGCATATTTTAATTCATTTTGTGGCAGGAGGTTCGATACCGAAAAAAAAATGGTAAGAAAGTTTTCAAAGCAATTAAAATCTGTTAATAAATATGCAAACTGCCTCGTGTAAAAATATCAGATCGATTGCCAATGTGGTTTTTTTGCAAAATGATATTAAAAATTATGCTCTTATACACATGTTCTTATGGGAGTTGGGAAAAAACTTTAATTAAACGTGAATATTGCTCTTAAAAATTATTAGGATCGGGAAAATAAAATTGTAATTATAGAATTAAATATTACTAAACATTTTAAAATAATAAAAATATGCACTTACAATATAATTATTGAGATAATGGAATGGATAGATAACGTTTTCACAAATTTGAACAAACATCTGATCCAATGAAAGGAAATATGGCAACACTGACGCGCTATATTTGAATAGTTCGATTATACACTATAAAATTATTCCACTTGAACACATATCTAGTAGTATTTAATATTAAATACATTTTTCGTGATCTAATGCAATATAATAGCAATTTGAAACAAAAATTGAAAGGATCTCTTTCCAATACAAACAGTATAGATGTTCTGTCATAATCTTCAATTTGACCAGACGACGTCTCACTACTAAACACTACGCTTCTTCTCATCAATCCACATTCTGTTTCATACGCATTTTGTATTGCTTTTCAGTCATTACTTTTCCTCTGTCTCTTGGACGTTCATTCCGGGCTAAGCACAGTTGACAGTTGACCCAACATTTACCTACCACCACGCCATCTGATGTACAATGTTGCCAGATTTGACCCATAGTTTTACAAACTCTTAATGAACAAATTAGTTTATGTAAGGTTGGTACTACAACGAAACTTCCCTGTATAAGCATAGGCTTCCCTCCCGCACCGCCTGCTCCACAAGAGTTCTATAGAACCTCCTATAGTTTTGTCAAAAGAAACAAAATGTAAATATTTAATTATAATGTATGTAGTAGTATATGAATATACTTTTGATTTCTAAAGATTCAGAAATTAGCCGTGAGATTTATTTTTCTACGCAAAAATGAATAAAAGGTGTTGGGGAAATATCTTATCTTCATACAAAAATTGTAAAAAAGCAAAATTGTTAGTTTTCATGTTACAAATGAGACAACTGCTATTACGTAAATTCCATGTTTGTTTGCCCCATCTCATTTGTGTGACCTAGAAATTATCCAATCCGGCTCTAATTTAAAGTATGTGTGCGCATACGTGTAATACTTCCAGCTCGTTGAATAATGCTGGCGAGCGGAAAGAAACGCTTTGTAGATACATCGAGTTGCATTCATTAGTCTGGCTGAGTAATTAATAATATCCGCCATATCCTACCCACCGTAATGTGTACATAAAATAACCAGGATAACTTCAAATACACAAAAAACTGCATCGTTGAATCAAGTAAATAGGTTCCTATGCAAAAGTTTAAAAAATGGTAACAAGGAAATTGGTAACTGATGAAATTTTACAGTGTGATTCACAACAAATCCAAAAAATCCTTTGTGGGATGTACAGCAAAATCATACAAATACCTACCATAATGTAAAAGCGAACTGGAATTTAGTCGACTGTAATAACGAGCGTTCAAATAAAAACGTGGTCAAGTTGGTTCTGAAAATTTGGACGTAGGGCGTAGCGTATAGCAAATGAACTTAAACGTCATCTGTCAAAGCGCTATATCGCCGCTATAAATTTGAATATTTTCGTTTTAAAAAGCGTTTAAAATGGCGTTTTCTCAAGAACAAAAAGTGTTTATCATAGAGTCCTACTTTAGAAATGGACGCAAGATTGACGGAATATGGAAGTATTCTATTGAGGAATGTTTCATAGAATTTCAAAACCAATTTCCCGGCGTTGTTGAGTACAAAATTTTTCAAAGTGCAGTTCAGCGTTGTGTTAATGTTTTTCGTGAAACGGGCAGTGTAACAAGAAAAGAAGGAAGCGGCCGACCTAAAAAGCGGACTGAATAATTAAAAGAAAATGTCCAACAAATAATGGAAAATGCGCCAAGAACTTCTGTACGTGTTTTATCACAAATGGTGGGAGTATCAGTCGGTACCTGCCACACAGTGTTAAAAAAAGCTCCTTTAATTGTTTGTTATTGTTATCACGATTATTCCTTAAAATAAAGTTATATAGTCATTAACGTTATTGAAACTGACAGCTGCTATACAGCTCGTGGAGAAATGAGGTTAAGTTGGTCGCTATAAGCTACTCCCTACGTCCAATGTGTCAGAGCCAACTTCGACCACGTTTTTATTTGAACGCTCGTTACATAACCATATCCAATGAAGTCACAACCAATAGGCATGTACAAAACGTTTACATACAAAAACTAGCTAATAGATATTAGTTTTATCATATCATAGTTATTTTTTATTTTAGCGAATTGAATTGTTACTTCTATTATTGTTATTAATTCCTGTCATTGTTAAATGTAATCAGTAAATTTTAAATAACATTTTAATTAAGAAAAAGTTTATATTAATGTTATGTTATAACGATGATTTAAAATTTTGTCCACCGACTCGTAAACACATTTAACCCCCCTCTGCTCCAGTTTTGATGAACCGAGACAAATATTCCTTCTTCTGGCTGATTTTGCAATTTCGAATTATTTACAGCAGCTACTTCCTCGTAAATCATCTATAGTTTCCAGAGTACGATATACTTCATTTTTTAATTGTCCTCATAAAAAAAAATCAAAAGAAGCTCGCAAGACTGCGGTGGCCGTACTACCGATCCTCTTCGTCCAATGGGTTTATTTGATATATTTTAATTCATATTCAGAAACTGAAACGGAGCACAGGAAAACCCACGAACGCTATGTTGTGACGTCATACTACACGTTAACGGCTAGCCCACAAACTTGGCTAGATCGCACGTACTTTTTCATATGTAAAGATAAAAATGATTGTTGCCATGTTAGATATGATCGTATGTAAGAACACGTAGGTAAAACGGAACTGTATGATATTTCTGCTGTCCGCTTTTGACAATAGAATGCTGCCAATTTGGTAATTTTGGGTTGTTTTTACCCAAGTGCAAAACTACGCATCTTTTAAAGTTCAAAGCCATAGAATCCAGTTCCTATTTCCACATGGGAAAAACTCCTAATACCCACATGTTCAAATTTTAGAAAGAAGACGTTTAATGGGCGTCTTCCTAAAATCAAGGTGTATGCCTTCAACACACTGACCACTATCAATTGTGATGGTCTAATCATTTAAACATTGTAGCAAGTTGGTGGTTGTTGATTTTCCAGGAAGAAATCCATGCTGCCCTTCAGTAATGATTTTATTTGACAACACAAATTCGGTTACAGTCTCAGTGATAATTATTTCCATAACTTTCACTTTAACAGGAGTAAAACTAATCTGTCGATACTATTCTTCAATAAATTTGTCGCCTTTTTTATGAATAGCAATTATATCAGATGATTTCCAACTACTTGGCATAGTAGCAGAATTTTGCATTATAATAGACAGTGGAAGGCACACAAATGCAGCGCATTTGTTAGAAAC